CCAAGCTTCACCAATCTGTTTCTCTCTCTCTCTCTCCATATGGAAGGATTCCAATTTGTGGGACTGACTTTGCCATCCTTCGCTGAACGCGCTCGACTGAATTTAGAGATATAAATTAGCTTGAACCTGTACAGAGATAAATGACAAAGTTAAGGATCTTTCCTTGCGAAGACAGTTATGAAAATTATTAATATTCTTTAAAAAGGTGAAGAATAAGGGGTTACACGATTGAAGTATATAAGTTCAGGGAGCTTCAGGGAGCTCCCCGAAGCCCTCAACACCGTCCACCACGTGAGCAGACAGTCCAGGAGCTCCCCGAAGCCCTCAACACCGTCCACCACGTGAGCAGACAGTCCAGGAGCTCCCTGAAGCCCTCAGCACACAACAGTAAACATCAGACTACAGCACCAAGCCACCAGGGTGTGGAACACCAGCCCAATGTTAGAGGACCAGCTACTAGAAACTCCAGGATGAGACGCCCCACTCCCACAGCTGGTGATCCAAGGTGGTGACGCCCCACTCCACCAGCCGGTGATCCAAGGTGGTGACGCCCCACTCCCACAGCTGGTGATCCAAGGTGGTGACGCCCCACTCCCACAGCCGGTGGTCCAAGATGGTGACGCCCCACTCCCACAGCTGGTGATCCAAGGTGGTGACGCCCCACTCCACCAGCCGGTGATCCAAGGTGGTGACGCCCCACTCCCACAGCCGGTGGTCCAAGATGGTGACGCCCCACTCCCACAGCCGGTGATCCAAGGTGGTGACGCCCCACTCCCACAGCTGGTGATCCAAGGTGGTGACGCCCCACTCCCACAGCTGGTGATCCAAGGTGGTGACGCCCCACTCCCACAGCTGGTGATCCAAGGTGGTGACGCCCCACTCCCACAGCTGGTGGTCAAAGAGCTTGGATCTACTCGATAGTGGAAACCAAGCCCCACAATTCACAATTCCTAAATTAATTACTAACCCCATAATAATAAAATTAATCTTAAACAGAACTTAAAAACAATTTTTTTTTGTGTTTCTGTGAATCCTACATAGTATTATAATATTCATCTATAGACATCCATATATGTTGAAATACCCGTGAAGGCCCCCCACACACACACACATCGAACCAGTTGTACACCAGTTGATTGACTGTTGAGAGCCGGGACTGTTGAGAGCCAGAGCTCAACCCCCGCAAGCACAACTAGGTGAGTACATCGTGTCAGCAAGGCCCACTGTTATAACTCATACTGTATTTCCCATTTCCAAACCTTTCCCTTCACCTGCACCTCTCCATCCTCTTTTCTATCCCCAAATCCTAGAGAATTCTGGGAAGCCAAACAAAGTCAGGGCAAAAACATGTCCTCTCCTAAACTCTGAGCTAAATGACAAAAACGTTTTTCACTCACCTCTGGCAGAGCAGGAATCAAACGCCCCGAGGACACACCAGGAGTCCACCAAGACCCGCCAACTCCTGGCATCTTTCGACAAAAGCCGGCGCTAGACATTGTCTGTCTACCCGAAGAACCAACCAGGAAATGGAAAAACAAAAATCGATCAACTTCCCTGTGGCGATAGGCGCGCCAGGCGTCGTAACCGTTGAACAGGAATTTCAGAAGGCAGTATCAAGAGCCAATGGGTAAAAGTGGCGTCACGTGTTCCAGCGGGCCCCAGGCGGCACGGCGCAGGTGTCCCAGAGCTCCTGCAGACGTCCGCTCGTCGTCAAGCTGAAGCAGACTCCGACGCTCTAAGGTTGTGTTGGGCAGATAAGGGAGGATGGATCTAAGGTGTCCTCATGCAAGGCAGAGAAAGAAGTTCTGCCACAAGAAACTTTTGCGTGCATATTGAATAAAGCCACTAACACACAAGGCGTTTTCGGCATAAGCTAAAATAAACTTATAAATAATTTAACTGAATTATTTTAAGTTCAAACTCGGTGAATGACCTATTATGCCTCCGCGATTGAAGAAAGCACATGGTTGGTTATTGAAACGCTTTTTGTTTTCCCTACTTTCCATGACTGCATGGGCAAGGCAACTAAAGTAATATAGATAGCAAGACTGGGATTATGTGACCCCTGACATTCCTGTTATTGGTATGACATGCAGTAAGCTAAAATACTAGATGTGCGAAAGGTCCACAACGCCATTGTGTATCACTATTAACTCTTATCAGCTGGGATAGTTAATGATGGTAAATTCAGCACACCCCCCTTCCCCCGCTCCTGTGCCAGGTAAGTTCACTACGGGCTCACCTTAGCCCGTGCTACCTGCAACTTTTTGTTCAGAGTGGCTGAATCTAAAACAACATGGTGAATTCTAATTCCATACGGCCCGGGGCGTCTATCCTTGCAAAGATTTAGCACCAGAAGCAATTAGATGATTATAAAATGAATGGTATGGCTTTAAGTTCTTTTATGGCTAAGTTAATTGTGATGAGAGTTAATTGTAAGGAGAAAGCGTTGACAACAGTATGTCTATATAGAACTTGGAAGATATAAGGACTAGGAGTTGGGATACGAGGACAAGAAGCCGGATATTCGGACAAGGAGCTGGGATACGAGGGCAAGGAGCTGGGATATGAGGACAAGGAGCTGGGATATGAGGACAAGGAGCCTGGATATTAAGACAAGGAGCTGGTATAAGAGGACCAGGAGCTGGGATATGAGGATAAGGAGCTGAGATACGAGGACCAGAAGCTGGGATATGAAGACAAGGAGCTGGGATACGAGGACCAGAAGCTGGGATATGAAGACAAGGAGCTGGGATAAGAGGACCAGGAGCTGGGATACGAGAACAAGGGGGCTGGGAAATGAGGACAAGGAGCTGAGGTACTAACCATATGCAAAGCGGGGCCGGCGCTCTACCAACTATAATTCTTAATAGATGAACGAAGTTTGTTGGTGTTTGCTCAGTCTCTACATATATATATATTTATAAAGGTTTTGTGGTACTGCACGTAGCTCTTATATTGACGATGGAATTATCCACACGGGCCTGTATGGGAATGTAATTGACAGCCTCATGAGGGAGAGGATAGTGCAGGGTTTTAATTTTGAAATTCATATCAGATTTACCAAACCTCGAGTCGTATTTTGAAGTCTCTTATTGGTTATCTTTCCAGAGCTTTGCATCGTTCGTAAGTTTGCAAGATTTTGCATTTAACTCTTCACAATATAAGACTCAGAAAATTTATTGCGAATAAATATCTGCAATGTTCTCTTTCACCATATGCATGTGGTTACTGCCGGAGGGGATTGATTCCCTGATGATAATTAATTACCTTACCTTCCTTCTTATGATAATTTCCTTACCTTCTTCCAGATAATTACCTTACCGCTCTTACCCTGATGATAATTGCCTTACTTTTTCTCCAGATGATAATTACGATATTTTCCTCCCTTCTTATACTAATTACCCTACTTTCCTCCTGATGTTAATTATCTTGCCTTCCTCCTGTTGCTAATTACATTACTTTCCTTTTGATTCTAATTTCCTTACCTTCTTCCTGATGATAATTACCCTGTCTTCCTCCTGATGCTTATTACCTTACCTTCCACCTGATGATAATTGCCTTACCTTTTCTTCAGATTATAATTGCCTTATCTTTCTCCTGAAGCTAATTATCTTACCTTCCTCCTGTTGCTCATTGCCTTATCTTCCTCCTGATGCTAATTACCTTACCTTCCTGATGCTAATTGCCTTACCTTCCTCCTGATGATACTTACCTTACCTTACTCCTAATGATACTTACTTTCCTCCTGATGATAATTACCTTACCTTCCTCCTGATGATAATTACCTTACCTTCCTCCTGATGATAATTACCTACCTTCCTCCTGATGATACTTACCTTCCTTTTGGTGCTAATCACCCTACCTATTCTGCAGATGATAATTTCCTTCCCTCTTGATACTAATTACCTTACCTTTTCTCTAGATGATAATTACCTTTCCTTCCTACTGATAATAATCACCTTACCTGAGTGGCCTGATGGCTGAGTAGACAGCGCTCGGGATTCGTAGTTTTGAGGTTCTGGGTTCGATCCCCGGTGGAGGCGGAAACAAATGGGCAGAGTTTCTTTCACCCTGATGCTCATGTTCACCTAGCAGTTAATAGGTACCTGAGAGTTAAACAGCTGCTACGGACTGCTTCCTGGGGGTGTGTAACAAAATGGAGGACTGGTCGAGGACCGGGCCGCAGGGACGCTAAGCCTCGAAATCATCTCAAGATAACCTCAAGAATACCTTCCTTTTGGTGCTAATTACCTTACCTTCGGCCTTATAATAATTGACTGACCTTTTCTCCAGATGATAATTAACTTACTTTCCTCCTGATGATAATTACAGTACCTTTGAAGAGTAACAGTGAGAAGATTGTGTTTACTTGTAGGAAACTGTGGAGAGGAAATTACAACTGTAGGAAAAGTAGAACTGTAGGAAAACTGTGGAGAGAATAGGAGTTGATTAGCAGGTGAATGTCTCTATACAAGGACTTAACAAAAGAATTTGACCAGTGTATTGGAGTGATAACACAAAGAGTCTAAAAAAAAAAAAGTAAATCAAACAATATACTGTACTGTGCAAATATATCCCATTATCAGGGACAGGGAGTGTAAGCCAACTACCTGTACTGTACTAACTTTTCCACATGATGCAACCCCACAACAGTTGCCTAACTCACGGCTACCTATCAACCTCTCCTCTAGGGTTTGTACCCACATCAAAACCACTACATAATTAGTGCTATTATCTACTTCCGTACATGTACGTATACAGTATATACAATCATTTGCACAAATACATATACACATCGATAATCTTTTTGTATCACAAGTGATTAATTAATTTACACTGCTGTTCACAGGATGTGCATACGGTGAACACTAAACTAGTGATTACAAGCAGGAATATTTTGGGGACTACATGTAACATCATTGAAAACTAAGCTTAAAAATCTTTTCAGTAATTTGTAATTATGTCAAGTGATGATGCTGAGTCTTCCCTTCTTTCAGGCCAATGAACCAATGAGGTGACAAATATGGGGACATTCCAGAAGTTCTGCCTTAGGTGGAACAACCACACTAGTAACTTATTAGGAACGTTGGGCCATATCCTTGCTTCTGAACAACACTCAGATGTCACTTTATGCTGTCAGGGTAAGAATTATTATGTTTTAAATACATTTTAGTCTTTATAACTTTGATGCTTTGATATTGTGGTTGTGGACCAAGAGGTCTTCCATTACAGTGTCGTGTTTTTTCCATGTTCTGTACTTTCATACCCTGTTACTAGATGATATCTTAGGGCCAATATATTTACAACCTTTAAAGGTATTTTCATGGGCAGATTCATAGTATACAGTACTGTATATATAATATATACTCTATTACTATATACTCTAGCCTTGGAAAAGATAATACAGTATAGTAATCATTTGAGGGGAACCCTCTATATTGTATTTTTACAATACAGTTCTGTATACTATACTAATAATAATAATAATAATAATAATAATGCTGTAATAATAATAATAATAATACACAGAGATTAATCACACTAATGTGATGTATCAATGATAATAAAATGAAATATCAATGAAAAAATCTGTAGGAGCTGTGATGAGGATTTTAACCTATGCGGTAGGTAGTCAAATGCATGCGCCCTAGACAATGTTTGACATGTTGTGGCCTGATTGTCTGGAACATATGCATGGGACTTCCAACCGTATAGGTTCGAATCCTCATCACAACTCCTACAGATTTTCTGAATTATTATTATTATTAATCTTCTTCTTCTTCTTATTATTATTATTATGATAACAATAATAATCATAATAATAATAATCCAGCCATTAAACAAATATAAATGACTGTATTATCTAGTCGATACTACTAGTCGAGTCCTTCAGTGAGTGTTAGTCACTGAAGCTGCAGTAACCAACTAAATCACTGTACAGTATAGCAGTATGTGAGGCTGTGCCCATGCAGTTACTGATTCAAAGACTTGCCAAATACAGTGGAGCTTAACCTGATTTTCTTGAGCAATATAAACATCAATCATTGCACCTCGGGCTCAAAGAGCAACTTTTTTGGTCATAATCTTTTGCTCCAATGAAGTCATAGCTGGTTTGGCTGTTACAGCCCTTGTTCAGTGCAAACGTACCGGAGTGGCTCGTATACATGTAAGTGATCACTCCACTACTTATGTGGCATCAGTGACATTCATGCTGCTGCTGTTACTGTATATCTCTGTATAATATACTGTGTACTTCTGATAGACTATATCTGTATATACTCTATCATGTATTTTATATTCTTTCAGGGGAAGTATGGCGATTACACAAACTAGTGCTGTGTGCATCCAGTAGTCACTTTGAGAAGTTGCTTGGTGCACTACCACCTGGAAACTCTCCAATTGTTGTATTAGATGGTCCTCACCCACAAGATGTGGCCTCTCTCATCCACTTCATTTACCATGGGGAGGTGAATGTTGATCAGGAGAACCTTGCATCTCTACTTAGAACAGCAGAAAGTCTCAAGATAAAAGGACTTGCAGAAGTATCATCTGTAACTAGTGGTGGTGAGCATAAGACTCAAAGTGATGGAGAGAGCCAAAGACATCACATCAGAGGCAGGTCAAGAATTGGTAATTGTCAGTCTGGTCCTATATATACTATAGGGAATGAGTATCCTGTAGGGATGTATGGCCTTGTTCCACAGAGCGTATCACCACATGCTCAAGTACCTGATCCATTGGAACGTGACCCATCACCTCTAAACTTATCTTTCAGTGGTTCATTAAAAAATATCCATGATGAAACACCTCAGGAGAGGCAAGAAAGACGCAATCGCTTGGATGACCTTCTTTATGCTGCTACTGAACGTAGCAAAAAGGAGGAGAGGCGGGAAGCTCGACGAGAGGCAAGAGAGGCAGCTTTGCGTGAAGCTGCTGCAAACCGTGAGTCTTCAGTGATGATAACACAAGATCAAGCTGTTCTTCCCCCCTTAGCGAAACGTGCTAGAACTATCGATTCCTCTCGAACTACTGCCCTGCCTGCCCACCCAGCTTTTCATATTCCTCTGATGAATCTTACACTGCCTCCCAATGCATCTGCTTCTCTTGTCACTTCACAAAGTATTTCATCAACACACAATTCTCATTTACCTGAGACTATATCTTTAAATGAAAATGCAGCTGTAGTTTTACAAACCCAAGATATTCATCAAGAACATCTTAATAATCAAGATATGGAGGCAACTATTAGAAAATCTATCAAGACTGAGAAGATTGAGGTTTCTAGGTAAGGATTTATGTGTTGACTATATTGTATTTATCTGTGGTAGTCCTTTAGCACACGTTGTAGAGATGAAACATGTATTACGTTGATTATACTGTACTCTATTCGTTCTTGAGGAACTTGCTGATTAGCTTCAAATTTGTTAGTCATTGCTGTTTTTGGGCTGGTCTTCAGAAGCTACCTGGTGCATTGGCTTTGGTACCTCACATTCACAAAAGTTTAAGTTTAGTTTAGTTCATTTATTATGCACCCCATACCCCATCCTGTTTCCTCTATCAGTTTACTTGATAAACTGATAGAGGAAATCCAGGGGCTGGGTTCCTGTTTCTTTGTCATCAATGGGTTTTATTTGTTGTCACTGGCAGTATCTATTGGCTAAGCCACTTGTCAAGTTACTGCTACCCTCCGAGCCTTAATGTACTGGCATTTTGTAGTCTTCAACTGTGAGCAGTCCTGCTGGAGGTGAGCCACCTCTTTTATTATGGGAGTTTTGAGTCTTTAGTGATGCAAAATTGTGCTAAATCCTTACCTTTCCTTGTTGGTTTCCCTACAGGATTAGGACTCAGTCTGTCCTGCATTTACTCATTCTACCACCCTTAGGTTGGGGCCTCTTCATTTTAAGGGATATTTGCATTGGATCTTCTCAGTTTGAGTGAAGATTCCTTTGTAATCTCAGAGCCCAGTCTCTGCTCAATTTTTCATCCCTGACATTTGTTGAATAATTTGAAGTTTAACTCTTTGTGGGGGTTTGGAGCCTGAGTGGCAGAGGCCTCTTCAAGCTCCCTGCTCAATTCCTTGGTTGCTGGAGTAAATTTGTAATCCTTTCCTGGCCCCCCCTTCTCTTAGGGTGTGTTCTAGGAAGGGAGGGGGTTCAGGATGGCAGGAGGCTAGACAATAATAATGGGTGCCCTTAAACTCAAGATGAGGATTAGTGCCAAAATCAAGAGGGGGTTGTTCCTTCAGGTTGGTACCCTTTTTATCCTACCTTGAAGTTTTTGCTGATTGCTGCCTCCATTACCCCTTAGGTACAGGCAAGAGAGCAAGGTTATGCACTTGCTCTCTTTCCTGTCACTCTCCTGACCTGACTTGTGACTGCAGAGCCATGTGGTGGTTTAAATTTTGGTCCTGTTCTCGCATTGATTGCCCTTCATATCATTGTTGCGTGACTGGCTACTTAGTTGGCTTCAGCTTTGCTAAAGGTTAATTCCCTGATGCCACTGACAATGGCCATTACCTCCAGAGATACTATATCTGAGATTTTTGGCATTCCTCTCACAGGGTGGATACCTTTAATCTTTCCCTATTGTGGGTAATGCGCTGAGATTTAGTTGCTGAGGTAAATCCTATTGAGACTGCCGAGCATTTAAGCATTAATTGAACTTGGTTATTGTTAAAATTGGTTTTAAAAGTCTTAATCCAAAGACAGAGTTTTGAGTGTAGGAAAATTATAGGGTCTGTTTTTTAAAATATCTTATGTTATATTTTTGTTTTGAAAGTGACAACTTTTACTCACTCATATTAGTAATTGGTTCATGTTTTCTTGTATATTGGTGTAATCTAGTTTTTTTTTTTTAAATCTTTACCTATACAATAGACACAGTTTGAAGCATGGGAAAGTTAATGGGCTTAACTGAAAAACTAATTATATTGTTAATATTTATTTTGAAATTGGCTAGTTTCATTCAGTCAAAATCATTCTTAGGAAATGTTATTTTAGGAAATACATTCTTGCATAAAGTCAGGTTTGCCTATACTGTACTGTACATTACATTACTGTACAGTACTTTGAATAGTAGTTGGCATGGTAGATATCCAGGACAGGCTGAAATGTCATCACTTTTGTTTCTTTTCATGTGTATGGGTTGAGTTGTTTATTTTACTTAAATTTTACAAATATTTATGTGTACTCAACCTTTAGTTTTACAACTGTTGCAGTGATATTATCATCATGGAAGATGCAGCAGTTATTAGTGACGAGAGTGATACCCAGAGTGCACCTGAGACTCCGAGTGACCTAAGCAATGTTCCTATAACGCAAGTGTTAATCCCAGCCACTACTACTACAGCGACTCAAGTATCCGGTTGTGGAACACTTGATGACATTAATGCCGTAAATACACTATCAGCATGCAGAGTGCAAATCGTCCCAAGCACTACCATAATTGGCACAAATGGCGTTTCTATCACTCCTTCGGAATCCAGTGAAGAAAAAGTGACCCCATACTTGCACAGCATCCTACAACAAGTAGCTGAAGGTGGCCCTGGGGCGGAGCCAGCATCCTCAAACTCTCAAAGAGTTACTATCAACATGAGAACTTTTAAGGCAAGTTTTTTATAAGATTTGACTAATGATTTCATATGAACAAAGTTTTGTTCCATCATACTGTGGAGTATGAAGTCTTCTAATGTGATTTAGATGAGTAAAAAGGCACGCTATTTCTATTTTGTTAGTATTTATTTATTTATTTTTATTTATGCATATACAAGAATGTACATAAGGAATGTGAGGATACAATTATGGTAATTACAGTCTTGTAAAGCCACTAGCACGCGCAGCGTTTCGGGCAGGTCCTTAATCTAAGAAAATTTTAAGGAGGTAAATACTTGCAAAATTTATAGACAAAAAAATGATAACAGATTACATGGAATGAAAAAAAAAAAAAAGATGAGAGAAAATTATAGGTACAGTATATTAAAGCACATAGGTAGCTATGATTGATTGCAATGACAGCTTAAAATGGTAGTTGACAACAAATTGGTAGGCACAATACAGCAGAAACAATATAAGATTGATTGCAATGACAGCTTGAATGGTAGTTGACAAAAATTGGTAGTCACAATACAGCATATGGCTAGCACATAAAAGAAGACAGCAATGAACACAATGATAAGGTTTGATATCACATAAAAATTAGGAGATTGGGTACCACTAGGTACAGAGCAAATTTAAAGCTCAGTGTAGGAAACTAAATAGATGAAGTTAGGTACTTTTTGGTTTTGCTTTTAAATAAGGCAAAAGTTTTACAGTTTTTCAATTCACTAGGGAGTGAGTTCCATAGACTAGGTCCCTTAATTTGCATAGAGTGTTTACACAGATTAAGTTTGACCCTGGGGATATCAAAGAGATATTTATTTCTGGTGTGGTGATAATGGGTCCTATTACATCTGTCCAGGGAGAGTTTCAGAGCATGGTTTGCATTTAAGAACAGGGTTTTGTAAATGTAGTTGACACAAGAGAATGTGTGGAGGGAGTTAATATTTAGCAAGTTTAGAGATTTAAACAAGGGAGCTGAGTGTTGTCTGAAAGCAGAGTTAGTTATTATTCTGATAGCAGATTTTTGCTGTGTGATGATGGGCTTAAGGTGGTTTGCAGTGGTAGACCCCCATGCACAGATACCATAATTAAGATAGGGGTAGATTAGTGCATAATATAGTGAGAGGAGAGCAGAGTTAGGAACATAATATCTGATTTTGGAGAGTATACCAACTGTCTTAGAGACTTTCTTAGTTATGTGTTGAATGTGGGTGCTGAAGTTGAGTCTCTTGTCTAGGAATAGGCCAAGAAACTTGCCATCATTTTTATTACTGATGTTAATGTTGTCTATCTGTAGCTGAATTGCATTTGATGATTTGCTTCCAAATAAGATGTAGTAAGTCTTTTCGATGTTTAATGTTAGTTTGTTCGTTGACATCCATAAGTGGACTTTTTTTAATTCATTATTCACAACATTATTTAGTGTATGTGGGTTGAGGTTTGAGTAGATAAGGGTAGTATCGTCAGCAAACAATATAGGTTTGAGAATATTAGAGACATTAGGCAGATCGTTTATATATATAAGAAATAGAAGAGGTCCTAAGATGCTGCCCTGTGGCACTCCAACGGTAATTGGTAGAGTGGAAGAAGTTGTATCATTGATGGTTACATATTGGTGTCTGTCACTAAGATAGGATCGGATGTAGTCAAGGGCAAGGCCTCGGATTCCATAATGCTGGAGTTTAAGTAAGAGGTAGTTGTGATTAACAGTATCAAAGGCTTTTCTTAGGTCAATGAAGAGTCCAATCGGAAACTCATTTTTGTCAAGGGCTGAGTAGATAATGTCAAGGAGACTAATGATTGCATCATTGGTACTCTTTTGGGACCGGAAGCCAAACTGGCAGGGGCTGAGTATGTCGAATTTTACGAGGTAGGAATAGAGCTGTTTGTAAATAATTTTTTCAAATATTTTTGATAGAATGGGTAGATTTGATATTGGTCTATAATTGTTTATGTCCGCCGGATTGCCTCCTTTATGGACTGGCGTTACTCTTGCTTTTTTGAGGATATCAGGGAAGGTGTGACACTCTATAGATTTGTTGAACAGTAGTGCTATGGGTGGGGCAAGGGCATGGGAGGCTCTCTTGTACACAATGGACGGAATTTCACTGGTGTTCCCTGCCTTGGTTTTTAGAGAGTGTATGATGGACACAACATCTGCCGGGCTGATTGGTGAAAGGAGAAGAGAGTTTGGATAGCTGCCTGAGAGATATGTGTTAAGTAGGATAGTAGGATAGTAGGATAACAATGCCAAAGAAAGTATCGGTAATCACTTTTTCATTATCACCTTTTTTCAGCCCTAAAAAACTCTTACCACATCTACCTACTTTTGTTCTTCATTTATTTCTCAAATATTTCACACCTCCATAAGAGCCTCTCTTTGTTTTCTGGTGCTTGGGCAGGTGCAGGCTCAGATCCAAGGGCAATTCTGCCCTTTGTGAGGGGGGGGGGAGAATTTGGGAAGAGAGTGACCCCCTATCTTGAGGTTATCTTGAGATGATTTCGGGGCTTTTTAGTGTCCCCGCGGCCCGGTTCTCGACCAGGCTTCCACCCCCAGAAAGCAGCCTGTGACAGCTGACTAACACCCAGGCACCTATTTTACTGCTAGGTAACAGGGGCATAGGGTGAAAGAAATTCTGCCCATTGTTTCTCGCCGGCGCCTGGGATCAAACCCAGGACCACAGGATCACAAGTCCAGTGTGCTGTCCGCTCGGCCGACCGGCTCCCCGCTTGGCCAACTGGCTCCCTCGCTCAATCTTTCCATTCATTTATCACAGGTTATACAGGATCATATGCACCACATTTGGGTGGTGCAGTAGCCACATCTCTATGTTGGAAAAAAGGTCAATTACAGAAATATAGTAATAAAGAAGAGCTATAATATTATGCAAATAGACTCAAAAACAAATCAATACTTTCATCATGCAAAAGCTAAAATTAAAAGTTCCTCTAACATTGGTTAAATTTTTACACAGTATGGTATATGTACTAACTATAGCAGAATTATTTGTTAAATAAAGAACAGTACTGGAAACTGATGACAGTATGAATCTGTATTTGAAGAGTCAATAAGCATAGCAACAACTGATATTGCAAATAAAATTTTTGTGACTGGAGAATGAAACCTAGTTCATATATCAGACATTAATGGGCCTCATAGTACAATTGGCTTCATTCTCAGTTCACAATCTGGGATCTCGGATTCAATCCCAGATGGAACAGAAGTGGTTGGGCATGTTCCTTTCATCTGATAGCTCTGTTTATCTAGCAGTAAATAGGTACTTCAGGCATTAGGCAACTGTTGTGGGGATGCATTCTAAAGAGGGTCAGGAGTTCAACCTTGAGGGGACTTCAATACAAGGCTAGTATGTATGTGTGTGTGTGTGAATATGCACAATAAGCTTCAGGAATAGTGTGTCAATATACAATAAGCTCCAATATCCCAATAAGCTCCAAGGAGCCTCCGAGAGCCCTGGAGGCTCCCTGGAGCTTATTGGGACCGGGACATTAGCTGTCCAGTTTTTGTTGTTAGTTTCTTACCATGAGGGGTTTGTTTTGTTATGCCTACTTTTCTGGGTGCCTAACCCTGATCGATGGCAGATAAGGAAAACCCCAACCACGGGGTTTTTCCAGGGCCATTGCTCCCTGCAACCTCTCTGAGGGGGGGCCAGGTTCTGGCTCATGGTCCCCGGTAGGCTGAACTCCATAGACTAATTTCCCGGTCTAATATATCACACATTAGCCCGATAGCTCCAGGGAGTCATAGGGGCTCCCCACAGAAAACAAATTATTATCTAGTTCCATCTGGTTTTTTGGTAATCATTGAGAGCATGGTCATACAAGGGTGAGAGTCTTGCAGCTATATGGGTGATCTGTAGCACTGTGGGTAATGTGGTCAGCTTATCACTGATTGGACCAAAGTTTCAAGTTCGATTCCCAGGCAGGGCAAGACATTTTGGCACGTTTTCTTACACCTGATGACTCTGTTCAAAATAGCAATAAATAGGTACTAAGGAGTTTAGGCAATTGTTGTGGGTTGTATCCTGGGGATGGTCAGTAGTTGATCTAGGGGAACCTTCATAAGCCTTACAGGTTTCCTGTCCCTGACAATGAGTACCAAACCATATTTTCTAAAATACTGGCAAAATCCTTGACTGTGTCAGGTTAATTATATAGCCACTCGTTACATTGGCCATTAGTAAGTAGTTCTCCCGAAACAGTCACCTGATAGCATTAACATTGAATATCATAGACTCTTTAAAAGAAGCCCCAGGAGTGAACTGTGAGAACATACAATGCTGATACATGATGTAGAAGAATATGATAGAAAGATCAGTGAGAGTACTGTATTCATGTGGCATGTGAATTAATTTAAGTTATATGAGCAGATGAGAGGTGAGTTATATGTGCAGAGATAATAATTACCACAAAACTAGGTTCAGATAAAAGAAGCTGCGTATCTTGGTAGATTTTAATACAGTGGCACCTCGATTAACGAGTTTAATCCGTTCCAACACCGAGCTTGTCATGTGGAAAACTCGTCTTGCGAAACAACAACAAAACTGTCGTAAAAGGTGTCCGAGAACCAGCGGAAACGCTTGTTAATTGAGGAAAAGCTCATTAGTAGAGACAAATGTTCCGCAAGTGGCTCGCTCGTTATGCTCGCAGATAGAGCCGCTCATTAATCGAGGTGCCACTGTATTATTATAAATTAGCCAATTTTATTTATATCCTGCTTTCAGACTACTTACATTGTGTTTTATCAACAGGAGGAATGGCGGCGGCAGCTTTTGGTAGACTATGACACGCGCACAAACATGAGCATCTGCATGCTCTGCTTCACCACCTTTAAGTCATATGATGGCCCCAGGAAAAATACATATGTCAAACATGCAAAACGCTTCCATCCATCACTTGAGGAATATTCTGAGGAAGAGCGGGACCTCATTATCAGCATGTACGAGAAGTATCATAAATATGATGTGGACATGCAAAAAGAAGTAAATAAATCATACAGGTTAGTAGTACAGTATTACTCTAGACAAAGATCATATTCTCATAGCCAGCTCTGAGTTTTTTCAAAACTTCCATGAAAAATAATGGTTGTGCAAAGTAAAACACATTTTCTCAGAGACAGCCCCTCAGATGCTTCCTGAACCAGAGGCTTTAATTCAGGCCTTGTATCTGCTACTAGGCTGTCATTGACCACGTCTCCTATTGTCTTGTCAAGGCAATTGAGAAAGAGAGACAATGTGACTTTAGTTATCATCTCAGGAGGCCTGGTCAACGACCAGGCCGCAGGGACGCTAAGCCCTGAAAACACCTCAAGGTAACCTCAAGGCAAGGCACTAGTTTGGTCTCAGAGAAAAAATGAAACAATATCATTTGTACCCCACTTTTTATCCAGACAACCCCAAGCTAGTTCAAGGAAGAAGGACCAAAAAAGGATGGGGAAGACAAACATCTGAGAGACTGGCTTACAAGGTGCATTTTGCAGTGCCTACCACCATGTTTCTGAGCTGAGGTCCCTCGGATAGTCTGAAAGTTGGTTTCCCCACATGGCACCAAGCTACATAAACTACAGGAACAAGACAATAGATAGGGCATTTATTCAAGTTGAATTTGCAGAAAGCAAGAAGCATGTGGATGGGAACAGAACCATAGTGGAGACTTCACAATAACTACACTTATTGTGAAGAAAAGAGATGTCCCATTTTCCCATCCTCCTGCAATTTTTTTTAGTCCTTGTTCTCTGTAATTTAACATATGACCCAATACCATTGTTACACATACTGCTCTCCTAGTTATATGGTCTTAGATTGTTGGAGTGTTCAGTTCAGTTATACTTAAGGATGCAGTGTGCAAGACAGTTACTTTTTCAATTGACTCCAGGGAGTTGATTTCTTGTTGACATCACATATGGGAATGTTTCATGCCAAATTAGGACTACATTTTACCAGATAAAAAGCACACTTGCCACAGTGAATAATCTAATTATGTCAGGTTGAGCAATGAGAACCTTACATACTGATAGCAAGAAGATGACATCACAGCAGGAGAGAAAGCATGATTGGCTCAAGCCCAGCAGCTGGAGTAAAGAGCCATGTTTGAGCATTAAAACCATCATTTAGAGCCCACCATTGAGAGAGGTGGAAATGTCAAGTTGTTGGTAGTCTGTTTTCCTCATAACTGGTATAGAAGCATGGAGGATTTTGAGAAGTCATTGTGGACGATTATAGACAAATAAGAGAACTGGAATCAGTTTAGAAATCACCAAAGTGATTATTTCAGTGTCTTATTGTTTTCTGGGACTTTTGAGAACCATCATTCAGTAATGAGGTTGTATTTAAAGATCAGGATACACTAAGAAACAACATTTTCTGCTATCAGTTATCTGATCTAAAGTATCTTTCATCACTGGAGGGGGGCCTACAGGCCGGTTTATGCCATGTATTCTTCAGGATGCTAAAAACAGTTAAACATAACTCATCTTCTTTTAGTGTACCTCTTTGTGCATTTATGTGTTCAGTATATAGTTTTTATATCAGTGTTTATTTATCAATAACATAATATAATATATAAAATGATTATGAGTTGCCCATCAATTGGGAAAGGAAAGAGACTGAAAACACTTACTTGTTTTCAGAGCTGCAAATGCCATAGTGGCACTAGGCAAGAAGGGAGCCAAGCACTGCGACATTAATGCAGAGGTAATAACAGTTAGTGAACTCGGTGCCAAAGTCAGTACAGAAGGAGAAGCTCAAGAGGAAAATTGTGAAGTTTCTACAGAAGTCAACAGCTTCAAAGAGGAGGAGGTCACATGTGTCTCAGGTATTACAAGTTGTTTTATTGTCATTATTCCAACTGTCATTGGCTATGCAGGCACCAGCACAGATGTAATAAGGGAGTAGTATAGGAAAAGAAAGCTAACGATTGGAAAAAATTGTTACTCACCCCTTCTTTGTATCTTACACAATTCATAGTATCTTAGTTAAGCAACAAAACCATACTTCAGCAAATCATCTTTAACAGCACCCTACTTATTCATAAGACTAGATGTCCCATACATCTGACAATTTGTCTTATTCAAACTCCTTCACAAACTGCTTCCTTCTAGTTTCTTTTTGTGCCACATCCCATGGGCTATTCACGTTTAATCCTCATTTCCTCTTGCACATACAACCACTAATCATGTTTGTGCATCTTGTTGGCCCTTCTCTCTTCCTCTTGTTTTTGTTTATACATTCTTCAGCAGTCTATTCATCATCCATTCATTCAACTTCTCATTCATTCATTCATTCCACATCTTTACATGACATTTTAATTCCTTACCCTCTCCACGTTTCTAACACCAGAAAGGTTTCTCATTGGTAGGCGATGAGTCACAATTGGTGCTCAATGTTTCTTATTGGTGCTCAGTGTCAATTTCTATTGATCTAATTCTTGTTTTGTGATGCTGCCACATGACCTTTCATTATAACTACCTTACCTTGCAATGATTTCGAAACTCAACGTGCCCACGGCCCGGTCCTCGACCAGTCCTCCTCCAGGCCGACTATACCTAAGGATATTCACTACCTCTCTTTCATGCTGCTCTCTGGCTGCATCTTTTCCTATCTTGTTCCTTCTACCTTAGGGCTTTCATGGCACCAGTCATTTTCCTTCCCTGGCTCAATCTACTCTAAAAAAAATTCCTCTTCTTGTCTATCACACATCTTGTGTTTTTAAAATAATCAACCTATTTTCCACACAGAATTTCCTTTCTTCTCCACTACAACTTTAATTTTGTCCACATTCAATTTTAGCAGTGTTCTTTTAGTCAATAAATTCTTAACTAATCTATATACATCTCCAATATTCTTCTAGAAGAATTGCATTATCTTCATATATTATATAGTGATACCTTCGTTTACGAATTTAATCCGTTCCCAGAGCAGTTTGTTAATCGAAACTAATTTTTCCATAAGAAATAATGTAAATTTAATTAATCCGTTCCACACCCAAAAATATTAACTTCATAATACATTTTATATATAATACTACTCATATTTTGTACTACAGTACAGTATATCTTACCTTTATTGAGGACTCTTGTTGGAGTATGGAAGATAGTGAGGAGGAGGGGGGAGGAGGAGAGGTGTTAGTGTTTGAAAAGCGAGTCCCCTTTCCATTATAACATCAGGCAGTGATACCATTTCTGGGCTACTCTCTCTCCTATGTTTTGAGGGCATTCCACTAAGACCTGGTTGTGGCTCACTGCTTGCTTGTCTATAGAATTACTAAGAATCTGTCAATAGACATTTGTTTTTCCCCATGCTTCACAACACCATGAATACCAATTCTTTTCCCAAAATTTCTCAAACCATCTCCTGCTCGCCTTAAATGCTTTCATATCTGCATCACTCATTCCAGAGGTTTTCTTTATAAGATCTTCATGCAATAGCCTTGCTTTTTCACAAATGATAGCCTCTGAAATGCTTTCAGAGACCCATGGCATAATATATAATAAAAACTTTTATGCTGAGAAACCAAAAAGCACAAAAACATTGAAATTCTTTTAATTTCAAGGGCAGTACGTCACAATGTGGGAGACACTGGTAAACTGAAGCACGCCATGCGCTCGGTCGGCCCATACATGTATCAACAAACTCGGCAAGCGAGGCAAAGCTTGTAGAGTATGCTGAGTAGAATTTTACAAAAAAATTGAGCTCGTAAACTGAAAAATTCATAAAGAAGGGGGCATTCGTCAACTGAGGTTCCACTGTAGTTGACATGCTCTAGAGAAAGGGAAAAGGTTTTCCCCTTTGTCTAGTACAGTATTCTTATCTTGACTACCCAAGATATGTTGACCAGACCACACACTAGAAGGTGAAGGGACGACGACGTTTCGGTCCGTCCTGGACCATTCTGAAGTTGATTGTAACAATCGACATTCTCACAATTAACTTCAGAATGGTCCAGGACGGACCAAAACGTCGTCATCCCTTCACCTTCTAGTGTTTGGTCTGGTCAACATTCTTCAGCCACGTTATTGTGACTCATTGCCTGCATACTCGAGATATCTCAACCATATACTGTATATGCATAGCATATATAAAGTATCGATCAACCCTGGTATACATTGACATTAATATTAAACCTGTCTGTCATTATGTCATTGGTAATTACACTTAGGTAATTACACAAGCAAATCACAAGAACATGATGTATCTATGAGAAAATATTAAGGCCATATGAATGGATGAAACCCACATTGATAGTATTTGTGTGTGGGGGAGTCCAAGCCATGCAGGTTCGATCCCATTATTCGGACTCAATACTTTTGTCTACTTTATACTTAAAAAACTCTTTTATTCATGAATTTAGCCATTGATATGTTTGCATTTTCTTTACTATTAAACTAACAGGGCTTCCTTTACAAAGAGCTTTAGAAGACTATTTTTTAGGTGCAATAGACAAAAACTACAGTATAGTTTTTAAAAGCACAATAAACAGTTTATCTTAAAATTATAAGGTAAAGCACTTAATGTCACTTTGAGAATGTATTAAGGGTTTTGTTAAGAAACTAACCTATCTGTAGGTACTCATAGCTAAATGGCACTTCCTGCAAATAACATATACTGTTTTTATTAGTAAATTAGCCTGCAGATACTTACTGTAATTTTTCTCACATTTTACTTAATTCACATACACAGCAAAATTGTATTCAGCCTTATGCAGCATAGTGTAACCATCATGAATGTAACATATCAATGAGTTCTTTTGTTTTCCAATAAACAGAAAAGAGGAACAGTAATTTCAATAAACAAAAATGAAAAAATTTTAAATGAAAAAATGTGTTGTAATTTCAATTCTACTTTAATTATTTCAGGTAAGAGTCGTTCCCATACTCCAGAGAGTGACATCAGCTTAGAAGCAAATGAAAAACTCTCCGAGAGTTTTGATGCAGAAGATACAAGGGAAAAGTTTGAAAACAATAACGTGTCTGTACCAGTACCAACAAAACGGAGCCAAATGAACACTCGAGCTAAAAGTGCTGCATCTACTGCCACAGTTGCTGTGTGAATGTATGTATTCTAGTTCTGGGCCTCAATATAGCATAATTTTCACTGAAAATTTGTTGTAGTTTTCATGCAACCAGTTCTCACCATTTGACAATTGTAAAATTTTAAGTGGTTTTACCGAACCAAAAGCATAAAAACCTTGGCAACCCACCTAACCTATAAAGGCCAATACTCATTAGTCTGAGGAAGTGTTGGAATTGCGGTGCTTTTAATTTCACTAAAGCACCAAGATTTTTATGCTGTGGTCAGTAGCTCAAAATTGGGGTGCATTAACTGTGAGGACAGGTCGCTTCATGAGTGATAACCCCCAGGGCTTACTTGTGATACTTACTTAACACCGAAGGCAAGACTTTACACCGTTTTCAGTGCTTCTTAAAATATATACTGTAACTATAATTACTCTGCTCTTTCTTGAATTGAATTAAGAAGCATTTTCTACTAAATTATTGTAATCTTTGTTAATTGTTTTCCTGCCATTTGATAACATATCACAAACACCAAGAAATCCGTACAAGCAAGGTGAATATTTTATAATTTGTGAAGTCGTATCAACATTTGTGCTCAAGACTCAAGTTATAGGTTATGTCCTTGTTGCAACTGTAGGACTCCTTAGAGGTCATAAGATAAATTTGTATATTTTTTATTAAAATACAAACGACAACATTAATTTTTGGCAACCACTTTTGAACAAGACATATTCATATTGTAAAAGTTTTATGATAGCAGTGGTATGTAAAAGTTATAAAGCTGAGTTTCATGCAAGTCTGTCAAGATCCTAGGAAAAATACTGCTTGTGATGATTGTCGTGCAAGTTCTTCTGCGTGTGTGCTTCTTCTGGCAAAAGCAACATATTGATTCTTAACCCCTGCACTGTGCACCTGTTTAATGTGACAACTCTGTCATGCACACAAAAAATTAATTACCAAAAAAGCAAATTTTCTTAATAATATTGTTAAGATGCATTCCATGATCATGGAAAACTAAAAATAAGTTGTGTGTAGCTTAATTTGGCTGCAATGGAGAAAGGAAAATAGCAATGGCATTACTAATTCACACTCGCTGATGGATGAGACTCCCTGGGAAGGTCACCTGAGCCAGGCGGGTTGCAGGAGTTGCTGCGAATATATTTTACTGATTGATTTCAGTGTCACCGAATTGCTTTTTCACTGGATTTTGCAGTTTCATCATGCAATAGTGTGTAATTTGAGAAATATCTATAATAAATTATGCAGAACATCAATAGAAACAAAAATATTTGTGTGACTAAAATGTGCATAATATTATATTCCTTCGACAATAAATATAGTGTACACATATGTTACATATAACACTCTACATGTTTATGCACTGTCTGGAGCCATTAAAAGCAGGTTATGTGAGTGATAATCACATAACCACAATCCAAAGTCAGCCTAGAATCTACAGAACATGTAGATTGTAGATATACACAGTTTTATTTCTGTCACTAATATGAGTATAATATTACAGTCTTTGAACAGTAAAACATATACATTTTGCTGTTATTTCTATCTACACTTTTATGCATCATAACAAACCTCTAAAGAATTCTGATGGGTGTGATGGTGAAAATCAAGCAAAGCATATCAATACACATTATGAGCAGACAAGGACAACAAACACCACTACTTGACGCAACAAAATGCCTTCAGTATACAATACTATATACTACTCACATTGCAAAATCTAGCTACAATACTTGCCATTATTATCAGATTCTCAGTGAGTGCACCATTCATCAAACGAGATATCTCAGTAAACATAGTACAGGGGTTAAATCAATTCATGTCTTTGTCCTAATGAAACACTTGAGTTAATTCTCGCTTCATATGGTTTTATTGTGTTAAAGTAAACTTTCAGTCCATTACAATATATAAAAATATATTTATTGTTTAAGTAAAAGTATCATGTCAAACAGCAATTTTGTACTGGAGTGATCTTTTAATATGCTGCTAAAAAGCATTGAAATGTGATTGACAGTGGGAGATAACTGCCCACGAATACTCCAGAATATCTTGTACTGACGTGGATTCATCTGCTTTATTTGTTCTACAATCTTAAAGTAACTTTTCCACATGAACAGTGAATTATTGTCTAAATACAGCTATTTAGAATTATTGTCTAAATATCAGCTAAATATCTGATATCTGGAGAGTTGTATAAATGTATGATGATAATGCTTGCAGAATTTGTGCCATGTCCATATACAGATATCATCTGCATATCTTGCACTGGATAAACATGTGTGGCCATATCAATTACTTTAGAATAATCATATCATGTTGTTACAAACACTAATTGTTGCCTAGTTTTAGGTAAGTTATAGTTGGCATATTATGTTGATTGTATTTCCAAAATGTTACAATTTTATATCATTTTGCCCAAATGCTGTAATTTCTTTCTTAGTATTATTACAAGATTGTCTTTCACTAACTTCAGAAAATGATAGGAGTGCTGTATATTTTTGTGGGCTTCTACATTTATTCCAGTATGTATAAACATTACGTTTAAGCACGTAATCGGTGGCCAAAAGCTGAATTAATTTTCTTGTGCCAAATACAAAGTAAGTTAAGCTTATGTTTTGTATTAATAAATTGCAAGAATGCTGTCAACTGTGTTGCATCTGTGTGTTGTCAATTAATTTATTACTGATATGCAATTTCTCCAAGTTTTTCACAGAACATATCGCTACTATTTAACTCAACATATCATTTTAGCTAAATTTCAATACTGCTGTGTGTGTATATGTATGTATGCATGTATGAACATATGTATGAATGTATAGTATATATACTATATACTGTATATACTATATAGTGTATATATACTGTATATTTACACTTGTTCATACATATGAAAGGTAGTTGACTGGCCTTTGAATGCCCATAGAAGCATCACTTCAAAAAAGGGCATTTTTTTCTTCCGAGTGTCCTTTGAAGTTGGCTCCTCCTGAGTGTCTCCTCCTAACATGGCTCCTCCTGAGATGGCACCTACTAAGATTGCTCCTCCTGAGGTGGCTCCTCTCAGGGTTGCTCTTCATGAGGTGGCTCATCCTGAGGGTGGTTCCTTCTGCGGTGGCTCTTCCCGAGGCAACTCCTCCTGAGGTAACTTCTTCTGAGATGGCTCCTTCTGAGGTGACTTCTCCTGAGATGGCTCCTCCTAAGGGGGCTCCTCCTAAAGTTGCTTCTATCAAGGTGGCTCCTCCTGAGGCTGTTCCTGAGATGACTCCTTCCAAGGTTGTTCCTCGCAAGGTGGCTCCTCCTGAGATGACTCCTTCCGAAGTTGTTCCTCCCAAGGTGACTCCTCCTGAGGCTGCTTCTCATAAGGTGGCCCTTCCCGTGGCTGCTGCTACTAATGTGGCTCCTCTCGAGGTTGCTCCTACTAAGGTGGCTCCTGAAGTTGCTCCTCCTGAGGTGGCTCCTTCCAAGGTCGTTCCTCTTTAGATGGCTCCTCCCGAGGTGGCTACTTCCAAGGTGGCTCCTGAGGTGACTCCTCCTGAGGTGACTCCTGCTGAGGTGGGTCCTGAGGTGACTCCTCCTGAGGTGGTTCCTGAAGTGACTCCTCCCGAGGTGGTGGCTCCTGAGGTGACTCCTCCTGAGGTGGTTCCTGAAGTGACTCCTCCCGAGGTGGTGGCTCCTGAGGTGACTCCTCCTGAGGTGGTTCCTGAAGTGACTCCCCCCGAGGTGGTGGCTCCTGAGGTGACTCCTCCTGAGGTGGTTCCTGAAGTGACTCCTCCCGAGGTGGTGGCTCCTGAGGTGGTTCCTGAAGTGACTCCTCCCGAGGTGGTGGCTCCTGAGGTGACTCTTCCCGAGGTGGTTCCTGAGGTGACTCCTCCCGAGGTGGTTCCTGAGGTGACTCCTCTCGAGGTGGCTCTAATATTTTGGCCACATTCGTAGTCTGACTGGAACAGTTTATTTGATTTTTAATTTGTATAGTTTTCTGTTGTATATAAAGATACCATTCTTTATCTTCTGCAACCATATTCTCACTATTCTATTTATACTTATTAAGGCAGCCTATATTCTTCTTACATATTCTTTAGTAATTATTTTATATATAAGGCTATTTATCAGATTATTGTTGAGAAATATTTGTAAAGTTAGAGCCCACATCTCCTCAGTAGGCACAGTATCCAAGAGTAGCATTGTTTGATGTTGAATCAACATACCTTGAGTATACCTTGAGATGATTCCGGGGCTCAGCAACCCTGTAGCCCGGTCCTCAACTAGGCCTCCTGGTTGCTGGATTGGTCATCCAGGCTGGTGGACGCAGCTGCTCACAGCCTAATGTATGAGTCACAGCCTGGTTGATCAGGTATCCTTTGGAGGTGTTTGTCAAGTTCTTTCTTGAACACTGTGAGGGGTTGGCCAGTTTTGCCCCTTATGGGAAGTGGAAGCGTGATGAACAGCCTTGGGCCTCTGATGTTGATAGAGTTCTCTCTCAGAGTACTTGTTGCCCCTCTGCTTTTCAATGGGGTATTCTGCACATCCTGCCATGCCTTCTGGTCTCATGTGGTGTTATTTCTGAGTGCAGGTTTGCTACCAGGTCCTCTAATATTCTTTTTCTCATTCAACATTGAATCAATATTGATGATGTTGATTTGCTGTTGAATTGGCATTACTCTTGTATACTGTGACCACTGGATTATTAACCTTTTCAATGCTCCAATCGGCATGTGCCAATTCTCCCATTTGATTTGTTAATTATGTTTAGTCATGTGCACCCTCAATGTAGTACTTAGTACTAAATGACAAAAAAAGCTGTGCTATATCAGGATTAAGCATGTCAAAAATACATGCCCCAATCCACATACATTATATAAAGGCTGGTAGAGGACTTAAATAAACCACAGGTTTATTTATTTTGATGTAACAGTGATTGTTACATCGTCAGAGTATTATAAATGTTGTTGATAAGAAAAATGAAACAATCTCAAACAGTGAGTTGGTGTACAGAACTTCTCATATTGACAAGTAGGAACTTATGTTTAGAAAAGTGTGCCTATAAGCATGCAGCTCACATCTTCATGTTTCTGTTTAATAATCTGGTAAATGAGCCCCTTCAACTTTTAAATTACAAATTCATCGACAACATTTTTTCTTAATAAAGTTTATAGGTTCTTTCATTAAATTTATTTCTCTTATATATTTCATATGATCGGTTTCCTTTAGTGTTTTCTCTATTATTTCCGCAAATTCTATAACAGTTTATGTGAAAGAATAAATGCATTATATTTGAGCAGTATCTCTGGAAATAAATGTTTGCAACAGATGGGTTTTATTTGGCATTCAAAGATGAGTGTAATATACGTGTATACATTTTTATATATTTATGGGTGTTTGTATATGCCTAATAGTAAATGAAATTATCTATAATTTAGAATGTTTATATGGTAACATGTTAAATACTGCGATACATATCAGATAAAGAGACTACAAATTACCTTGCAGGATTTTTTATTTTTTTTTTAGTTATAATTTTTGTAATGTATGCAAGCCATTAACTATTTATATAGAAAGTTGAAAAAATATTTGGATAGTAAATGCTAAGGAACCTATTAATTGACCACCTGGAAATTTGTGATCAAACACATTGTAATTTCTTACATAATAAGAGTGAATTTTTGCTTCTCGACACTGTAGGTTTCCATCACATTTCTCATGCATATCAGCTCACACTAAAACAAATTTCTTTTTCTAATACCATTTTTAATATTATACTACGGCTTGACCAAGAGATGGATATTCAGCAAAATAAAGCACACGTGGTTCGGCGGAGTAGATATTCAAAGCAGGATTATTATTACACATGTACTGCTGTTTGAAAATGTTCATATTACATGATACCTGATATTGCATTGTTAAATTTAAATGAAGTAGCATTGTGTTGGCAGTGCAAAGGACATCTCCTGCCATGTTGCTACCTGACAAATATTTGTTCTGCCAACAGAGTGACACTTTATTATAATTTCTGAAAATCCACCCATTAGCATAGCCAAAGGATGACCTTGACTAATTTGTATATTCGCTAGTTAAATAGACACTAGATAGTTCAGTGGCAAACTCGGGTGGAGACGGGGTGCATTAAGTGCACATGTTCCTTCCATTTTTTTTTAATTAAATTACCAAACAACACCAAAACAATAATTTAAGCAACATTTTGTCTGTATCATATTGCACACTGGGTATTATAAAGTAGAGGATGATGCATAGGGTGGCTATTAGCAAGATACTTAAAACATCCCCCCAAAACCTGGGTGTGCCATTGTATTCATATTTATTATACAGTACATTGTTTTTGTCAAGGGATAAGCTTTTAAAACATCCATATCTATGTGCTTTTATCTATATGCTGTAAAACATAATGACCTATCTAGGAGCAGTATACTGTACACACTTTTGTAAATTTAGATATTTTTAGCTGTGCATGTTTAATATGCAGCAATCTTGCCCAATATGGATCTGTCTGCTGTCAGACCTTTCTTGCATATCAGTTCCACACAAAGCTTCCATTTGAGAGTGATAGTGTTGTGTGTATATACATGTAAGTTGACTGAGCATGTCAAGTTTCAATATGTGATGAAAATAAGAATGACAAGATTTTCTTAGGGTTAAGGATATACAGTTTTTTGTAGATTAATATATTGTCTCTCTTTCTTGAGACTCTGATCAGTATTGGACTTCGTTCAGTTGGTAAAGTTGGGCTGTACCTTTCTGATAAAAGGATTTGCATTACCCACAAGGTAATAAAATTAGTTTTAAAATTTCAGTGAAAACATATTTTTATAATTACATCTAGCTTAATATTTTTGTTTTTGAATACAACAATTATTAGGTGAAGGCAGCTAATAAATTTCATTACTGATTATGACACTGCTACTGTAATTAGTTTGTTAAACTTCATTATATTATTATAACAATATTTATTAATAGTTACTGTACACCATGAAGGACATATACCAACTTTTCATTTACAGTATATTCAAATTCATTAAGTACTATTTGTTTTCTTTCAGTGTATGTATGCAATTCATCATGTTTTTATATACGTATAATGATCGTATGATGTTTCCATTAAATTTGGGTAACTTAACCTTTTTTTTCCCGCATGGTTGTGCCGAGCGCACTCAGGGTTTCTGGGATGTGCATGGACAGTGCCTCTCAACATTGAAACATGTGGAACTGTGTAGGTCTGCAAATGTTGGGTTGGCATTGGGATTACTAGGAATCTCTGGTGGATGAAGTGGTCTTGAGCGGCTGAACTTAGGAAGGGATCATTGCCAACATAACCTTGGTAAGGAAATCAAGTTACTCTCCCATCTTGCCCTGCTAGCCCTTAAGGCTGCGAGACAGGATATTCAGTTTATTTTTATTTTGGGGAGGGGGAGGGGGGCAAATGGGCATACCATGCATAGAATTTGTACATCATTTCCAAGTAATCACCATTTGTTTTTCTATAACTTTGTTAGACAAAATTTGCTTAAAATTATTCTTTAGTAAGGGAAGGTATAAGAGGGGTAAACTACTACCTCCTTCCCCCTTTCCTCATTTTTTAATTCTCCACACCCATATGATGGCAATAAACTTTTAACTTCTTTTTATCAAAATCTATCTATCTATCTATCTATCTATCTATCTATCTATCTATCTATCTATCTATCTATCTATCTATCTATCTATCTATCTCTGTCTCTGTCTCTGTCTCTCTCTCTCTCTCTCTCTCTCTCTCTCTCTCTCTCTCTCTCTCCCTCTCTCTCAGATATAACTACCCTGTATATAAAGAAGTAATTTGTTTGAATCTTCTAAATACTGTTTAACGTGTCAACAAATTTGCATGCGGGAGGTAGCCCTCAAATAAATGACTGCAGAAGGGTTAAGATAGGAAAAGCCTGAATTTCTCTTGGCATTATATTGTGAATAGTAGCAAATGTATTTGTGTATATGCTTACCTTTTGGTGTTTATGGAGGGGGAGGGGGAGTAAGATCTAGCTCTCTGAGCCCAGCCTCCTAGCTATTTGTACCTGATGCTTTTTACATATCTTAAGTGTGAAATTTCTCTATCTTTTATGCTCTCAATTCCATAACTTTTCAGTGTATTCTACTTGTTGACCCCACCTGCATTACATTACATGCATTACATTACATATTTTGATTCATGTACATTTCTAACTTCCATCTTGTCTTCATGTCCAATTATTCCTGAATTGGAAGAGGGTATTCATGCCCATCTTGTCTAATCTACTAAGTATTTTGTATATACAGTAGTGATTAAGTTTCCTATAGTCTTTCTTTCCTTTAAAGTTATTAAGTGTAGCTCCCTTAACCTCTCCTAGTTGTTTGGCTCTTATTTCAGGCACCACTTGTAATGCAAGCCTCTGGGACTTTTTAAATCTTACATTTGTGCTTTACAAAATGAGAATTCCTTCCTGGAACTGCATAGTTTTGTTTGCCAGCTTTGTATATGCTGCTGTTATCATGTGTGGTTCTAATGTTAGTGCAGATAATGCATCTATTTACAAATATGCCTTTCTAATTCCTATATCTGTCTTTTTGTTATAGTAACCTTTTTGTCTCCTTTCCCATCTCTCATTACCTTATATTTGCTGGCAGTGAATTCTAGCAGCCATTTAATTTCTTGCTCCTGCAGCTTGGCTATGTTCTCTTATATTATCCAACAGTCCTTTTTATTCTTTACTCTCCTCATTAACTTTGCAAACATTGACACACATGAAGTCACCCCCTCAGGTAGGTGATTTATATAGGTTAAGAACAGCAGAGGACCAAAACCCAAGTGTCGAGGGGTCGCGCTTACTCTATTTTACCTTTCTGACTATGGCCCTCTGTTTTGTTTGTCAGGTCTGTGTGTGCATATACAGTATACCATATGTACATATGCACATAAACATGTGTGTTATCAGACTATTTAGTTACTACCTTTTCTGTCATTCATACAATTTTCAAAATGCTGCACCAGTATCTGGTCAGGTAAAATTTATAGAAATTTGGTTAATGTTTAAGCAGCTGCTTACTACATTACTTGCTTTTTGTGAATACAGTAATGATAAAATAAAAGTTAAGAACAGTGATGAAACTATGAAACTAGTGCATGTACAAAAAATCAAACAAAGTACATTAATGGGGAGAGCCTCTTGTGACTCCCTGAAGCTATGCATTGAGATGGTTACCATCTACCAGATTACATCAGCCGTGGAGTTCTTAGGCCTACTGGGGACCAGAGTTACAATCTTGCCCTCTCAAAGAGATGCAGGGAGCAGTGATTTTTCACCTCCTCACCAGGAAAGGCACTCAGAAACTCGGCAAGTCAAAACAAACCACTGCTGGGTTCAAAGGAGACCAAAGCCTCAAAATCCGTCTAATGGATTCCCAAACTATGTAAGCAAAAGATTGAATTTCTTGAAACTAGCATGAGCTCGTTCACCCCACCTTTCCCACTCGTTTGGGAGAAGGGAAGAAGGGGCTCACTGTCTTCAGGGGTCTGAGCAGTCAAGTCTTGCACAGATGTGGATGGGTCACCTGCCTGCTATAATAGTTCCCAGGTTGCCTCTTTTCCATGCAGTCTCCTCTGTTCAGCTAAGTAGTTTTGGTGTTTGCTCTTGGTGGCTTTTCCTGTACACTGCAGTGTAGCATGAGCCTTGCTTGTAGCTGCATGTGCTCAGGGTTACCTTCACTGTGTGATCCCTAGTAATGCCCTTGCACTGTCAGAGTTGTCTTCTGTGGAGTGTTTGGGAGTCGCTCCCTTAAAGGTTCTCTTTGTCTGTGGTGATGCTTGCCCAGGGTGAGTCAGGAGTCTTGCGGCTTCTCTGTACATAAAAACCTGCATCACACACCTTAACCCAGGTCAGGTGTGACTGACTGGCAGGGTACACTGGTGATTTGCTGGGTTTCTTTCAGCACACCGCAGATGGCCTTCACAACTGTTCGCTTACTTTTAGGGCCAGTGTAGTGTCCCCAGAGTCTGGGTGTCCTGCTTGCTTTACCCTTCAAGTCCTGAAAATTCCCTGTGGGTTCGGTGGTCCTATGGATATTCCCCTGAACCTGCACTCACTTTGTGAGAATTTAAGAGTTACTCGTCTACAGTGCCATAAGATGATGTTCACTCGTTCTGCCACCGCCATGCTGCCTGTTGGGTCAGTGACACCTTCGACCTTGAGTCCTGTGGGGTTTGTTCTTCCCATGTGACTCTTCTTTCTGACCCTCCTGATGAGGTTAGTATCCACTTTGCAAGTTCATTTTGCTCAGTTACAGCAGTCT